ATGTAATCCCACCAGCCTATCTCCACCTTTTTTGAAGCCATCCAATAACAAGCTTTGAGTCCCCTTCAATTGTTAGCTTAGAAATATTTAATTCCTTGGCCTTCTGAGTTCYTTCCATCACAGCATAAATTTTTGCTCTCAACGAGTTACCCACTCCAATAGGGCCTGAGAAAAGAGCCCTAATGAAACCATCCTCATCTTTGAAAACACCTCCAATACTTGAAGGTTCAGGATTGCCCTCGCTACTGCCATCAAAATTCGGCTTGATAAATCCATTGGTAGGAGGGGGTCCAGGAAGGTCTAACAACAACTCTTAATGGAGCAGAGTCGGCCACTTTCCTCTACTTTCTCATCAGATGATCCTCTCATTTGAAGATCTATTAGCCATTGATGCCCAATTTCTCCAAATATCATCAAAATGAAAATTGTGAGAATAAATCCACTGTTTTACCCAATATATCTCACTCTTGTTGCAATTTTGCCCCTCCTTTTTGTCCATCTGAAAGTAGAAGGATCAAAAACCTATGTAACTTCAAAGGTAAAGTCCACCTACATCCAAATAAAGAGATTTGTAGTAAAAGGACAGGAGATTAGAAGGTGTTAACAACTCTCCCCATTAGCTTTGCAGAGAACACACCAGTTTGGAGACAAACAAAGAAGAGGCCACTTCTTTTATAGATTATCCAAKGTATTAATTTTACTTTTACCATAATAAACTTTCCAATATTCTATTTCTTCTCAATTATTTCCTTGATATTTTATCTCAAAATTGGTCAATTTTATACCATTTCAGGATTTACTTACAACTTTTAGGCATTATTTTTTGGACTGAGGCTTACTGCAAAAAATCTTAAATTGTGAACCTCAAGGGGGACAAACCATCTAAATAGGCTTAACATTGTAGAAGATTTTATTTTTTTCTGTCTTTATATGTTTTGTTGAAGTTCTCAGGGGCTGTTTAATAACGGCTGAAGTAGATGAACTGAGAAGCTTATTCCTTAACGACTGATGCTAAATTTGGATAGATTACTATGCCCTTGAATATTTTATTACTTAGTTATTTTGTCCACTATAAGACAAAGCAATAACTTGTTCAGTTCAGCAACTTCAGCTGTTATTAAACAGTCCTTCAGATTATATTGTTGCACTTTCATTCAACTATGTTTAATAGTGGGGTTTCTGGCTACTTACTATTTGAGTAAGAAAATATTTCTTGATCCAATTGCAGCACTTCTGATCAGCAAAAATTATGTTATAGCATTGAGCTTCTCATTGTTGGAATACATGCTTGAGATTGCTTTCTTCCCTGGACTCAAGGAACTTTGGTGGATAAGCAACTTGGGCCTTGTGATGGTGCTATTAGGAGAGATAATACGAAAAACTGCAATTATAACAGCTGGACATGCCTTTACACATATGATCAGGAAATATCATGAAGAACATCATATGCTGGTTACTCATGGAATTTACAGGCAAGTATTATACAAAATGGGTTAGGTAACTGCATATTGATCATGGAACTCTATTTTACTGCAACAGCTTAAAAGAGTTTTATAGAGCTCAGTGATTATGTTGTCTTCTTGAAAGGATCCTCCTCCTCATCAGTAATCTAACCTTAGAACTAGATAAGGAACACAGACTGAAATAGGCACTGATAGAATCCATGTTCATTGCCTATACTGTACACATTTTGCACATGCAGCCATAGTTTTCAAGGTGCCAATGCTAGGCTAGGTCATAGGGGGCACTGGGCACCTTATTGCCTAGTTGACTAGGCAATTACCTAGGTTTCATAGCAACCAGCAATCATCTTTCACTAGTAATTATCAATGACCTTCATAAAAAATGAACTTCATATTAAACATAGAAAATCAACTATTTTTTGATTGGTAACAGGTAACTTCATTGGTTTGAAAAAAATGAAATATATATACAAGAATGACAAAGTGCCATACATCCCAGTACCCAAAGAGGCGAATGTGTTGATTGGACAAAATTTTAAGTTCATCATTGCTTATCGGTTTAAGTTTTGAAGTGTTCAAGGGTTCAAGAGTTCAAGACAGCATGCACCAACACATGTCTTGATTGAAAACCTAACAAATAAGAAAGTAATGAAAAGAAACTAGTATATAAACYTACAAAATGAATAACTTAGTGTAATAATGTCTATTTTATTTAACTTTGATGGTAGATCTCTAGGCAACCCAAGACCGGCAGATATTGGAGGTGTAATTAGAGATTCAACAGGTACTATCAAATCTCTGTTTTC